TAATTTGTTAAAAGTAAACACGATGAGATCATACTTTTAAATGAATTTAATTTTTTGTGTGAATTATCTATATATATGGACTAATAAAATAAACGAATCAAATAATTAAAATAGGGTTCATGATTACACTCAAACATCAATGCTCAATTCACAAATGTGTACAAGAGAAATATACCATCCCATAATAGAATATGTTGAGAAAACAACAATTAATTAAGATAAATATCATTCATTATTTGAAAAAAAAAAAATTCTAGATAATCCCAAGCAACAAAAGTTTCTTACTTTGTCCAAAATACTATGTGCCAAATTGGGACAACCCTTGTTGCTCATACTGTTGGTTTGGGATGTAAGTTGGCTTTTTAATTTTTTGACTTTTTAGTTATTTTAGCCTGGGGTTAAAAAGCCTCGTTTGAAATAGACTTTTTTGACTTTTGTGAGAGAAAAAATGAAATGATTATGGTTTGGATGTGACATTTTATCTTATTGGACTAAAAAACGTATTTTGTCTTTTTGTGATTATTTTAGCCAAAAAATTCTATTGTAACTTATGTCAAACGAAAACTTATTATGCTAAAGTCATTTAGTTAATGTACTTCATTGGAGAGACACTATTTGACGATTATTTAACTTAATATTGAATTTTATAGTTGATTTGCAAAAATGTAAAATGCTATAAATTGTAGCAAGTATATTGTTGACGCAATTAATCTTAAAGGGGTGAATGACATGGTGAATAACTCGATTCAAGAAGTCCATTAGGCCAATTTTATGATTACACAATCATTAAAAAAATGTTAATCAAGCATGATTTTAATTAAAAATTACATGATATTTGTTATGATCTAAAGTGATTTTTTTTTTTTTTTTAAATACATTACAGTCATAGTTTGGGGAGGGATATTGTCACATGTAAAACTCAAACTTTTAGCCACCTGATGAAAAGTAAAAGTTCAATAATAAATTGTGACAAAATCATAGCTCCAATTAATATTTTGGCAAATGGTTTAAATAAATGAAGGCCATGTTTGTTTGTTTAAGATTTAAATAATAATTCATTGGCCCCATAACATCATGGTTGATCATAATAAAATGGTACAAGGCTAACTGTTTCAAGAGACTACGAACTCTCACAAAATGTGGTATTATCAGGAATTGTGATTGCTAATCTTATCCCATGAAATTGAAAGTGTAAATACTATTTTGCCCCTAGCATACAAAAACAACAAAACCACCTTTTATGTAATCAAGATTGTTATGAAATTTCATAGATTTAACTTAACCCAACTAATACGACCATATTAATATATAAATAAACACAAATTTTTTTTTTATATTTTTAATTTAATATTATCACACTAATAATTTCACCACTCAATTTTACCGTATATATAATTCAAATGAACCTAATATGATAAAAAAACATTAGTATTACTCAATTTTAAACAAACATTAATTTTGCCAACTCTTTTGATTCATTTATTTAGATGAAAATAGTAAAACTCTCATATGCATAATTTTGGAGTAGAATAATATTATATAAATTAATAAATTTTATAATTTATATATTGATGTAATATTTATCATATTATTAATATGATATTTATTATATTTTTAAACTAAATTCTATTTCATATTCTAAAATTTTATTATGACATTAATCAATAAAAAATATTTATGAAATTTATTAATTTGTGGTAATATAGCCTTCTTGTTATTATCTCTATAAATTCTAGACGTGTGTGCACCTTGCATGATGAGGAGTGTGAACCTTTCCAAAGTAAAATGGCACTTTGCCGTCTTTATTTATGGTGATTTTTTTTTGGTCATTATAACTTCTTCTTTTTTTATTATTATATTATTTTGATTTTTTTATATTTTAAATTTTTTTAATTTATGCCAAAATTTAACTTGTGTTTAAAAATAAACAAAAAATGACATTTTGATAGTCACATAGTATAAAAATATTTTGTTATATAACTCATACCTCTAATACAAATCCAAATCTAAATATAATATATATATATATGTCATATGGCAGCTAACCTCACATTTTTTTTTTTAAATACTAATTTTCAATAGAAGTTAGTCTTGAGAATAAATTTAAAATTTAAAAAAAAAAAAAAAAAAAAACTTAAAATATGAAGAGTTAGGGGGAAAAAAAATCAAAGATCAAAATTTAAAAATGACCAAATATAAAACCCCGAAGGGTAATTTACCCTTTCTAAAAGATTAATTGAGGTCCATGCACCAAGAATCTAATTATAAAAAATGTTTGAGATCTTAGAAACGTACAATTCTACACATAATAATGTGACGGAATGTGTGTTAATTTTTTATTTATTGCACATTTAACGATAATGAATTTAATTCTCATGCCACATCATTATGGATGAATTTATGAATATAAATATGTAGGTTTCTAACATTATTCAAAAAATAAATAAATGTTCGTTTGGGATATGGGTTGATTTTTTAACTTTTTTTAATCTGGGACTAAAAAATCTCCTTTGGGATGGGCTTTTGGACTTTTTGATTTTTGTGAAAGAAAAAATGCAATGATTATAATTTGAATGTGACGTTTTATCTTATTGACTTTTTATTATACTTTGTCTTTTTGTGACTATTTTAGCCCAAATGTGGTATACCAAACGAGCACTAAATGAATGGAACTAAGAAAAAAAAAAAATAGTGATACTACAAAACTAGAATTATTCAAAAATTATTTAGAATTATCATCTTATGGTTTAAATTTATTCTATACATGAACTTCACACTAAATAAATTTAATTTCTACCATGTAACCACCCACCCAGAATTTTCTGGGTGAATATGTCATAGTATGTAAGGGCATCTCAAATGGCAAATGATATTATATCATTATTATTGCTATAATTTGGTAATAAATAATAATAAATTGCCAAATTATTACAATGGTGCTCTAATGGTTATTTGTCATTTTTGACAAATCTCAACAAATTTTTTTCTCTAATTTATAGATATTGTTTGGATATAGATTTTTTAATGATTTTTTTTGTTCATCTTCTTAGACCATTTCAGCAAATGCACAAAGTAGGGGTGTGCATAATACCGCCGAAACCGCCGAAACCGCCAAAACCGCACCAAACCGCACCGCCAAGGCAAATTCGTTATTATTTGTCAATCGAACCGCCGGTTTTTGGTAAGAAAAATGGCAAATTCTAGTGACACTTTTATCAATCCGCCGGTTTCTATTTTTCTTCCAAACCGCACCGACCCGCACCTCTATTAAATCATGTTTTATAGGATTCTAAAAATTCTTTTTTACTTAAGTTTGCTTGTTGTTCTATACCTTAGAATATAGTATTACATTACTGCTCGAGGGGAATTTTATGTATTGTATTTGATCATTGTAGCTTCCACAGATGCTTGTAATGAACTGATGGTATAGTCGTTGATATTATCATGTTGTTGCTACACTTGCTGCATCAGAAGAAAGCTTCACAAGATGCTTAACATTACGATATCTCTCGTCTTTTTTTTACTCTTTGATTTAAGTTTTGTAATTTGAATTATATTTTTTATAAACCACCAATCCGCCCGAACCGCCAAGGCAAATCCACCATTATTTGCCAACCGAACCGCTGGTTTTTGATAAGAAAAATGGCAAATTCTAGTGACACTTTTATCAATCCGCCACCCGCCATACGGTTTCTATTTTTCTCTCAAACCGCACCGACCCGCACCGCACACACCCCTAGCACAAAGGAAGAAATGCATAGATTGGTCCATCGGACGTCCATCAAAAACTGGAGAGAGAGAGAGAGAGAGGGAAATAGTTACTTTGTTGCACTTCATGGACACAAATAGTAGCTGGCAATTTGACACAAGTTTTTGACATTTTTTAAATTTAACAGCTACTATTTCTTATTATTAGAGCACATTACTTTGCTGCAGCTATCAAATTATGACAATAACAACTTTAATGCTTTGCCATTAGATATGTTTTAAATTTATTGGGCAACTTAGACTAACAGTGCTTGTAATTTGGGATTCGTATCATTTTGGTCCATAATTTTTTAATTGTGATATATTTAATCTTGAATTTTGAATCTTGTTCCAAATAAGGACAATTGAAGATATCATTGATCAATTTCAAGGGCAAAGTCATCAATTTAATAAAATATAAACTAATTTGAAAAAAAATAAATGTCAAAAAAATATTTTTGAATTTTTAAAAATTATTTCTTCCCACCAAAGATCAAATTATGTAAAATTGATAAATTTTTTATGCATTTATTTCTTTTACTAAATTAATTTTTATTATGTGTTTGGATGATGATCATGTAATGTGTGGTTGTTAGGCTTTTAATGTGTAATCAATATATTTAATATATGAAATATTTTTAGTTTTGGATTTTTAGATTTGATAGATTTGTTTAATAATGATATCAAAGTTGTTACCATATTTGAGTTTTGAAAAAATAGAAACTAATTTAATGAAAATAAAAAATAACCATCTATTATATGATCATCATTCAAACACATAATAAAAATTAATTTAGTAAAATAAATAAATATGTAAAAGATTTATCAATTTTACATAATTTTATTTTTAGTAGGTAAAAATAATTTTTAAAAATTAAAAAATATTTTTTTGACATTTATTTTTTTCAGATTAATTTATATTTTATAAAATTGACGATTTTGCTATTGAAATTAAGTAATAGTGTTTTTAGTTATTCTTATTTGAAAGAAAATTCAAAATTTAAAATCAAATATGTCATAATTAAAAAATTATGAATTAAAATGACACAAGTCCTAAACAAAAAAAGGTAAAATAACAAAAAGAAGGGAAAGAACTATTAATTGGTTAAAATCAAAGGATTGATTAATAAATTTTAAAATAAAAATTCCACCGCTCAAAAAACCAAAGTGTACGTTACTTTTTTCTTGCATTTGTTTTTGCACAAAGGAAAATCCCAACAACTGTGTGTGCGTTTTGTGGTGGTGTAGGGTCTCTCTCTCTCGGGGCTGTGGGGTTGATTGTGGGGCGGGCTTTATCGCCACGACAAAATCTTCTCTCTCCTTCTCATCCCACATTCCCGCTTCTTCTTGAATCTCACTCACTCTAGAGAGAGAAACAGAAAAAGGGGTCCATAGAGAAAAGTGAGATACAGTCAACAGAGAGAGAGAGAGATGGGAGAGGAGGGAAAGAAATTAGATAGAGAGTGTGAGAGTGAGGCATGTGGAGGAGAAGGTCCTGCAATGGACACCCCAAACCGGAACCAGATCACCACTCCAGTCTCCCAATTCGAGGTGATTTGGTCCCCCAATTGATGTTAGTCAAGTGGGTCGCACTTGTATCTGCTTTGATTGATCTTGATTTGTACTTTGTTTGGTCACTCTGAAAGTTTTTTCAACAGGGTTTCGTTAATTTTGGTGGAAAATGTTTAATTTTGTTGATTAATTGATCTCCGAAAATCTGCATTTCTTGTTTTGGGATCTTAGTCAAGTGGGCCGTGCTTTTATTGCCTTGATTGATCTTGATTTGTAATATTTTTCGTATTGGGTTTGGTTCACTTTGGTGAAAACTGTTGAATTTGTTGATTAATTGGTCCCACGAAGTCTGCAATTTTTGTTTTTTGCGATCTTAGTCAAGTGGGTCTTGCTTGTAATGCCTTGATTGATCTGATTTGTACTTTTTTCGGTGGCTCTGGAGGTTTTCGTGCTGGGTTTGGTTTACTTTGGCCAAACTGTTAAATTTGGGGGTTGTTTTTGATGTTTGTAGGATAATTTATGCTGGAGTTAGGCTAGATGTTTGAGGGATTTGCACGTTTTTGGTCTGAATTCTTTGTGGTTTGATGTCTGTATTTGGGTTTGGTTTTGTTGATTTAAGTATTTTACAGTTTCTTAACAGTCAATTCAATTGAAGATTTGTTTATGAAAATTGATATGTTTATTTATTATGTGGTTTTAATTTTGGAGATGAGATTAACAAGTGGAGATTCCTGTGTGAGTTCTGTCATGATGGAACGATGTGTTTTTATGAATCTATGAGTGGCTGATCTTAAAGCATCCATTTTCTTGTTTTGTTATTGTTCACTATCGAACTTTTTTTTAATGCCAAATACAATATATTTTAATTTTTTTAGAACTATGGAATTTCAACTAATTAACATTATTCTTTGTGGTTTACTGTCGTTTTTATCTCTTTCCAGTCATAGCATGGTTAGTGAATTTCTTTCTCTTCTCTTCTCTTAGAAAGAATTTTGTTTTAAGAAATTGGTCTTTCCCGTGTTGCATCGTTGTGTGAAATTGGAAGCAGCACGACAGTGGAATTTGTTAAATAAAGCAGTACTTCTTATGTTTGTTCATGTATTCTACTGAAAATATATATTCTCTCTCTATTTTTTTAACAAATTGTTAATTGTTAATCATGCAACACTCACGACCTAATCTCATGAAAGGCCTCTTTATTATATATTCGTGCATGTGTAAATGGATGCAATTATGAAGTGTATTGTGAATTCATCTTGATACTTATTTCCCCTTCATTTGTTATTTTCATATTGAATTTTTTCTGGGTGAGATGAATGCATCATACAAGTATTTGATTAAGCAAATCTTTTCTAATTAAATTGATATACATATTGGATTCAAATTCATAGATTTGTGCGTTGAATGCTCTTTCATTCCTCCCTTTTCTGCTATGCTGATGGCAACTCTTTTTTGGCGATGTGCAGGACTCCCCTGTATTTAACTATATCAACAGTCTTTCTCCTATCAAAACGGTTAAGTCTGTACGTATTAGCCAGATGTTCAACTCTTTCAGTTTTACATCCGTTCCATCGATTTTCACTTCACCCCATGTAAATTCCCTCAAGGAATCTAGATTCTTAAGAAGGTAACTAACCATTTTTCCTTGAATAAATTCACACAAAATTTCACTGTGTTACGCTGCATTCTGCTTTTCGTGATCTTTTTGTTAATTGTTATGGCTTCATTTCAGGCATAACTTCTCAGATCCGTCAAAACCCGAGTTTTCTTCCGAGAATGGGAACAAAATTGGTGGCAATGAAGGGGTTATGGATGTTCATAAATCTGATGAACAGCAAAATTTTGATCCAGATAGTTGCATAGGTGAAGCTTCTGTTGAGCCAACTTATGAATGTTCAAAGATTGCAATTGAGGTCTCACAAACCCTAAGCTATGATCATGGTAGCCCCGATTGTGGTACAATGCCTTGTCGTGGGAATGAAACCAAATGTGTGTCAGAATTGGCTGGCACATCAGGGTCGGTTGTTCCGTTTGTCTCCAAAACAGGTTTTTTAGGAAGTGGGGTGCATTTAGAGGGGATCAGAAATATTGATCAAAATAATGAAGGGTTAGAATGTGCTTGGGAGAGTTTGACTTCTGATGCTGCTGATTTATTAGTATTTGATTCGCCCAGCGATACAGAGGCTTTTGCGGGCCCTTTCCAGAAACTACAGGATTCAAGAATGAATTTATGTACTTCTCTTGTATCTGAGTTCACGCATGTTGAAATTAAGAATACACAAGCTCTTGGTTCAGTTGGGTTTGAACAATGTGAATCAGAAAATCCTCCTTCTCAAGTTGGAGAAGATAGCCATCTGAAGGAAATAGAAGCGACTGGAGAGCCAAGTGAGCAAATTGATAATGAGGTGAGATATTGAACAACATTTTCGTTTTGAATCATAGAGCTTCTTAATTAACTTAACTTGAGGTTGGTGATGTTGTTATTTTATTCTTATTTACTTTTTAATGTAAATAAAGAAGAATAAATTTCTTCAAAACTTTTGATTAACACGACATGGTTTTGTCTGTTTATCTATAGCCTATTTCCACTTTAAATCGCGGTATGAGAAGGCGCTGTCTGGTTTTTGAGATGGTGGGAGCTCGCAGGAAGCATTTAGACGATAATTCAAGTTCAAGCTCTTCCATGTTATCGCAATCTGATGTTAACATTGAGTCCAATGATAAGCAACTTGTTCCTACAAAGCTGGGCCATGATTCTTCGCGATGCATTCTACCCGGAATTGGTTTGCACTTAAATGCTCTTGCAAGAACTTCAAAGGACTACAACATTGTCAGTCACGAAACTTTGGCTTCTGGAGCGCAGTTTATACATGATCCTGCTGGTCAAGAACCCATAAATAAATATTTGGCAATGATCTCTGTGGAAAGAAATACGGGTCCTACAGAAAATGGAGTTCCGGGTATGGAAGATGTTTCTCAGGCGTCTGGATATATAGCTAGTGAAGAGTTTAGTCAGAGTAGTCCAAAAAAGAAGAGGCATGTTCAGTTCACTTATTCTATTTTTTTCGGATAATTATTGCACAATAGTTTCCTTTTGGTTGCGTCACATTTTTCCATATTATAGCATATATTTGATTTTCAGGCGTAGGCTGGAAAATGCCGGAGAGAGCGAGGGCTGTAAGCGGTGTAACTGCAAGAAATCAAAATGCTTGAAACTGTAAGCGCCCTTGTCTATGCTGAATTAAAGCCTCACCAACCATATAAGCAAAGCATGTTGGTGACATAATTCCAAGAATATGTAAGATAAATGCAACACAATGTAGTTATGATCATGATTCACCTATTGAGCCTTTGAATGCAGTTATTGCGAATGCTTTGCCGCTGGTGTCTACTGTGTGGAGCCATGTTCATGTCAAGATTGCTTCAACAAGCCTATTCATGAAGCTACTGTCCTTGGAACTCGCAAGCAGATTGAATCTCGCAATCCGCTTGCGTTTGCTCCTAAAGTGATTAAGAGCTCTGATTCTGTACCAGAAATTGGGGTTAGAAACCTAAATCCATGCTTGCAGTTTACTTACCTCGTGATTTTTTCATTGCTCTCATTTTATGTGTTGTTTCTCTATCAGGATGAATCAAGCAAGACTCCAGCTTCAGCAAGGCATAAAAGAGGATGCAACTGCAAGAAATCTGGTTGCTTAAAGAAATACTGTGAATGCTATCAGGTTTGGTTGTTTTTTCGTTATTATTATTATTTTTTCGTGCAATTTATTTGTTCTTGCTTTTTTTTGTCATTTGATTCACAAATGGTGGTTCTCTTTTGAAGGGTGGTGTTGGCTGCTCCATTAACTGCAGATGTGAAGGGTGTAAAAATGCATTCGGTAGAAAGGATGGTGAGCTTTAACGAATAATCTTTATTGCTCTGTTTGGTTTTGTTTTTCAGAATCTCTTTTCTAAAAATACTAAAAACTAGTTTGGTCAAAATAAATGCCAAAAAAATGTTTTTTGAAATTTCAAAAACTATTTTTGCACACAAAAAAGGAAAGTGTTTGTTAAACCAAGTTAGTTTTTGATGTTTTTCATTCTCTGTTGTATTGTGTGCCTAATTTGACTCGATGCAACTGTGTGTGCATACTGTTTTAGTTTGAAACGCTTTCTTTGTCTTGCTTGAATTTAGGATCCACTTTAATAGGAGCAGATGCTGAAGTGGAAGAAGAAGAAGAAGAAACAGAAGCATGCGAAAAAAGTGTGGTTGACAAAAGTTTACAGAAAAATGTAATCCAGAACATTATAGAGCGCAATTCAGATTCTACTCTTCCAGCAACGCCTTCACGGTATGCCACTTTCAAATCTAGCAATTCTTTACCCACAATATTGATACCTATAGTTATTAGAGCTTTAATATTATTTTGTTTATTTGGGTGTGACAGAGCATTGGTTCAGCAACCATTTTCCATTAAGAGCAAACCGCCACGATCATCTTTTCTCTCTATCGGATCCTCTTCTGGGTTTTGTGGTAACCAAAGGTAAGCTTTATCGAATTTTTTGCAACCTCAACACAAGTTTGAGAAGCAAATCCAAGCTGTTCAGGAAGATGAAATGCCCGAGATCCTCTCTCCTATCAGTGGCGTAAAATCTGCTTCTCCAAACAGTAAGAGAGTCTCTCCACCACACTGTGACTTTGGGGCGCCCCCTGGCCAGAGGAGCACCCGGAAGTTAATATTGCAGTCTATTCCTTCATTTCCTTCTCTCACCCCCAAGCATTAGAAGTTTTATGTTCTGGGTGAACTTGAAATGAAATTCTTTCTTCTTCGTTGTAGTTATACGAGTTGTGTCGTTTAGTTGTATGTCATTTGAGCTTGTCTTATGTGCTTGTATAATAATATTGTGGTTGATGTTTTTGATTTTTTTCAATTAAGTCCCCAAAGTATCAAATTTGAGTCTAAATGGTCCAATTACTAATGGTCCATCAAATTGATTTGCAAACTAATAACACTAGAACATTTTGGACATTTTATCTAAAATCAAAGAGACATTTGGACATCTCAACTATCGCAACTCTGTGTCTCTCAAATGGTCATCTCTTTATTCCTTTCCTTCGTTCACCTTCTCTCCCTCCCTTTGTTAACCCCCATCTCTCTCTCTCTCTCTCTCTCTCTCTCTCTCTCTCATTTCCTCTCTTTGATGGTCAAAGACGACAGTGATGGTATGCGGTGGATTTTAAACGGTAGTGGCTGGGTAATTGAAATAAGTGGTGGCTAAAACAAGAAGTGGGGTATGTGGTCGCGTGTGATTCTAAGGATTAAGGGATTTGTGGTGGGGGTTGCAGTAGTGTAGTGAGGCTTGAGGCATTTGGGGCTGGGTTTACGATGTACAATGGTTGCGGGAAGAAGGGGTGGTGGTTGTCAAAAAGAAAGGTGTTTCGGTGGGTGAAAAAGAAGGGGTAGGGGCTATTGTGGAAAACGAGGATGGTGGTTCATTGGCTATAAAAGGAGGCCTAGAGACTACTGTGGGGAAGGAGAGGACGGGGTGTTAGGGAATTAGGGAGTTCAAAAGCGTCCATTAATACCAGCCTAGTCTATTAAGGAGAAATTTTAAAGTTCACAAACGCATGTTAGAAAGAGGAATGGTTGGGATGGTTATGGGAGGGATGAAATGAAATGAAGAGGGAAGGGGTGGTGATTGAAATGGGAGAAAGAAAGGGTCAAAGAGTGGCAGTTGATGAAATAAGTGAAGGAGAATAAAAAGGGAGGTGTCGGTTGATAAAGCAAAGCGAGGTAGCCTTCATCTATTAGGTCAATTCCTTAATCATCTCACCACAACTTTAACACTATGGTTCGCCGCGTTACCTAAGTAATGTTTGATTCACGGATTTCATGACAAAAAATGGAAAAAAATTATGCAAATGAAATCGTTTTCCTAGTGAGATTCCCATAGAAAACATGATTTCTCTTCTAAAATGTTACCATGATGTCATTGATGATTTGCATATAGCAGTCCCCACTTTAAATAATGACGTGGATTATATGAATTTTAACAAAATGTCTAAAATCTGTAACAGAAAAAGGTTTCCTAAGGCCTCGTTTGGTTTAGCTGAAAAAAATCAGCTTAAATATTATTAACATTTGTTTTCTATTAACATTCAATTAATCGTGCGGTTGGGTTGGGTTCATGTATTCTATGGCCCAAATGCCTTCGGCTATCTTTTCAAATGGGCCAGGCTTAAACTAGATTGATATCTATGCCCATAAATTTACTGTTGATATAAAGAAATCCAAAAAATAATCACCTTGTTTAGTTCTAATTTTCTGGATTCAATTTTTTAAAAATTGAGTTTTTATTTTTCTTATTTTTTTATTTTTTAGTGATTTTTTTAATATTTTAAGCAAATTTTTTACTTTTTAGACACACCTAATCAAAATGTATCTAAAAAGTAAAATATTTGTAAAAATCAATAAATAAACAAGAATACGATATGTATTGAATTTTCATATTTTTTATTATATTTTTGGTATTTAGTGAATTTTTTAAAATTTTTTTTTCACAAATATTATATTTTTTTAATTGTATTTATATTATGTATGTCTAAAAAGTTTTTTTTTTTTTAAATTAAAATATTAAAAAAATTCACTAAAAATAAAAAATACGATAAACAAAATACATAATTGGGCAAATTACACAAATAGTCCCTATAGTTTGGGACTTGTGTCACTTTGATCCCTGACTTTTCAATTTTGACACATTTGACCTTGAATTTTGAATCTTGTTCCAAATAAGGACAATTGAAGATACTATTGTTTAATTTCAAGGGAAAAATCGTTAATTTAATAAAATATAAACAAATTTGACAAAAACAAATGTCAAAAAAATATTTTTAATTTTTTAAAACTTATTTTTATCAACCAATGATAAAATTATGTAAAATTAATAAAAATTACTTGATTAATTTTTTAAAATTAATTTTACATGATCGTTATCCAAACACATAATAAAAATTAATTTGGTAAAAAAAATAAATAAATATTTAAAAGATTTATCAATTTTATATAATTTTATTTTTAGTGGGTAGAAATAATTTTTAAAAATTCAAAAATATTTGACATTTATTTTTGTCAAATTAGTTTATATTTTATCAAATTGACTATTTTACCCTTGAAAAATCTAATGATATCTTCAATTGTCCTTATTTGGAACAAAATTCAAAATTCAGGATTAAATATGTCACAATTGAAAAGTCAGGGATAAAGTGACACAAGCCTGAAACTATAGGGATTATTAGTGTAATTCACCTTACATAATTTTTAGAAAATTAAATTCAGAAAATTGAAACAAAATTCTCTCAAAATTTTATAAAATTGATGTGGTAATGTCATTTGTATAATCAAAATAATCTCAATAAACTTTTTGCAAAATCATCTAAAAAACTATAAAAATCTCGAAATGCGATCATACAATTAGGGCATGTTTGATTGGGTGGATTGGAGCATGGGATTAGGATTATTAATCCGTGGGCCCAATTATCATATGCTTGTTTTAACATTTTGATTTAGGATTAATAATCCAATGGATAATTAATCCAACAAATTTGTAGGATTATTAGTAATGGGGTAGGGGTGGGATTATTAATCCAATGAATATTAATCCAATTGTATAGTGAATACCACACTAATTTAATAGGATTATTAATACTTCACTATTAGTATTGTAAATCAAACATGACCTTAGAGTACACTGAGCTACCACTTTCGGCCTAGAAGTTAAGTAACACTCTTTATGTTGTGAGGTTATGATTTTAATTTTTATATAGATGAATTTTATATCATCTCTTTGCTGTGGTTATTTGTCCAATATTATAAATTTGGACTAGTGATGATTGTTGGGTGTGTTGGACTTTTATTGTAGTTGATGTAATATTTTTTATATTTATAATTACTTTTTTATTGAGTGAATCGAAAAAAATTAAGATTAAAAGTTCAATGGAAACAACAAGATTAAGGCCAAGGAATGTTGTGTGATGCTAGATGAGTGTTTTACCTAAGATTGTTGAGATTGTTGCATATCTCACGAATGCGAACAAAGAAGCACAACCGCACAAACCACAAAGAAACTTCTGTAGTTAAACACAAACATTTTACATACATGAGAAAGATATAAATTCACCATCAATGATAATAAAAATTATGATAAATTCGAAATACATTCTTAAAATTTGTTTAAAATATATTTTTTTATCAAATTTAAATTTGACGACAGAATTATAAACTATTGAAAATGGTCTTATTTAAGGGTAATTAAGTCCTTACCAGAATCTTAAACCTCTCTCTTTAATTTCTTACCACACCGTCACATTTCTATATTTGTGTTGTAGTTCTCTCACAAAAATCACTATGGCAATTCACATAAAAATCCCAACAAAGGTAACATTGTGTCCTCGTTAATTCATTGAATGAAGGTTCATTATTACGAGACAAAAATAAAAATAAAAATAAAAAGAGACAGACGAAAGCATTTTGCCAACAAAAGAAAAGAAAAGAAAAGGTCATGTATGATGACTGGAATAATAGATTGCTTCATGGCAACAAATCTAAAGTGACCCACGTGTACTTTTGAAGTAAAAAAATTTAATTTCCCAAAATATTTGATTCATTTTTACTATTTAAAAACACCATCATAAAAACAAGAATAACGACAACTACTATAAAGGAGTTCACGAGTTTAAGCTATATGTGAAATTTGGTATAGTTACCTACCATACTTTTCAAGTTTTTTGTCAAATGATGGCTTGGTTGAAAGATAAAAGGAGTGATTGGAGGAGTAAAATGGACCAGTTGGGCGTGGACACCACACATTTAGAATTGTATCCAACATTACATTTAAGTATTTCAAGTTGGGCATGAGCAATAAAGTTCATATCAAGTTGGGTTGATATTTTGGACCTAATAGTGCGGTCGCAATATAAGCAAGAAAAATTTTTAGATTTATATTTTGTGTGACAAATTTATCCTTTCACACACAAACTCTCTATCTTTTCCCTCTATCTCTGCCTCAGAGCTCTCTCCACCACTATCACCTCCGTCTATTTGGTAAAAAACACCATCTCCACTACCACAACTACCATCATTTCCATTACCTCCACCATCTCCACCAACACCGTTTCAACAACTAGCACCGTTCGTCATCGCCATCGCCATCGCCATCAACATCGCCATCGCCACTATTGCTTCACCACCACCATCACAACCACCAACGCCATTCGATGCCACTGTACCACGGGCAACTACCATTGTCATCCTTAGCATCCAAGACTTTAGATTTGAGATTGATGACCTCAGATTTAAGATCTATTATCTCAGATATATATTCTCTCCTTCTTTTTCTCTTTGTCTCCTCATTATGCTCTATTTTTCAGACAGTAAAATTTTACTCTAGTTTAAAGCAGATCTAAGGCAATATAAGTGTTCTCTCTATCTCTCTATTTCTCTATTTTTTTCTCTAGTATGTCCTCTATTTTTGTTTGACAGAATGATAGTAAAGTTTTACTCTAGTATGTGCTCTGATTTTATTTGACAGAATGAGAATAAAATTTTATTCTAGTATGTGCTCTGTTTTTGTTTAATAAAATGAGAGTAAAATTTTACTCTAGTGTTATGTGTTATGTGTTCTGTTTTTGTTTTGTTGTTGTTGTTGTTTTTTTTTTTTTTTTTTTTTTTTTTTGGATACAATGACAGTAAAATTTTACTCTATTATTGTGTACTTCTGTTATTTGTTTTCAAAACAACAACGTTCAAGTGATGAAACAGAGTGAGGGTGACAAACAGTTCCATAGTTTGATATTTATGGAAGGATATTTCAGTTTTTTCACCATATTTTTTTTATTTGAGAGACTTTTGGAACCAATATTTTATTACGTGGGCTTCACACAAAAAAGGCCAATG